TTTAAATAAGTGTTTAGTGAACTGAGCTCTTGCTTTCATTCCAGTTCAGCTTAGACACTTCTGTCCAAACCATTTAATTATAACCAAATCTTGTTTAAACCAGCAATATTTATGAAACTGTAATTTTAGTTTTATTTACCATGTTAAATTTAACCTTTTTCTAAAGTTAAATTTAAGAAGATTTGTGAAGATAAAGAAAAGTCGCTTGTTCTACAGTTTGGGAACATGCTCAAAATATATTTTTCAAAAGTTCATTTTATTTAGATTTCATGGCTAATTATGTAACATTTCAAGTCATTATTAAAAATTTATTTAACGATTAAGAATTATGAAATGAATCTCTCACATAGTGATTACACTTCATTTATCTAAATTATGGTCTTACCAAGAGAAAATCACCACTCAGATCCACATGAAGGATTTTGCTTCCAATATTTTTCTTTCTACAGAACCAGAATTCCCATCAAAGAGCAGGATACCAGTTTTTGCTCTTAACAAAAATGCACAGCATAATGGGAAATCTTGATTTAAAGCATTATCCAGATTTTTATGAGCAAACAAACTAATGATTTTTTAAAATCCAGATAAATTTGTGACTTTGTGATAAGAATCATTTGCATTAGTCCTGTGAAGATTGGAGGAACAAAGAGAGGATGAAAAACCAACTGCATAATATATATGGGAGGTGAACAGACAAAGTATTGTATATTTAATTATTCTGTTTTATCTCCAAGCTGAAATATTTATGTTGGCAATGAATCCCTGCAAATTCAGGCCAAAACATACTGGTTTTGCGTACTTACATGTAAAATGTAATTAGTGAATGGCTGGGCTGTTTGTGTAGTGTATAACAGTACTAGGCACTACCATACAGAGACCTGGGTTTGGGAGTGACTTACACAGGATGAGGTAAAGGAGCAGCATGCAATGCCCTTTTCACCTCGTAGCTGCTGTTCACAGCAGAATTTCAGTCTTGTTTAAAAAAAAAAAAACGTGCCTGTACTTTCAGGTGCTGCCTGCTATGACTGCAACTATTTTAATTGTGTGGTTCTCTCTGTTCTAGAACAATTAATCTTTGAGTTCAGCTGTCAATATTTATTCATTTAATCACAGTCATAGAAATTAGAGATGGGAGGAAACATTGTTTATCTAGTCCTTCCCTCTGCCAGTTCAGGGTTCTTTATGAAGATATATTTTTATCATCCTTTGCCCAGTCTAATAATAAATATTTCAAGTAATTGAGACTTCACAGCTTCCTTTGGAAAACTGTTCCACTGCTTAAGAACGCTTACAGGTCAGCAATTTTTCCTGAGATTCAGCCTACAATTTTCTGCTTCTTAATTTGGTACCATATTTTCCAATTATATTCCGATACTACCCTAAACAATTCCTCTCCCTTCTTAGTGTTTATGCCCTTCCAATATTTGCAGACTGTTATGTTTCTGCTAAATCTTCACTTACCATAGATGACAGCAAGAATGTCTTGTTAATATATTAGAGATGAAAAAATTCACAACAAAGTGAAACCCTTAAAGGGCTCTTTCTTTCTAAAGATTTCTGATTGGGCTCTTTGAACTTTATTAATAGTCCAAAATTAACCTATATGCCCAAGATTGAGGAAGGGGCAGTAGAAGACTGCACACACATCAGCCATTTTTTCTGACTGAATTCCCTAGGGATTATGCAAATATGGGGAAGGAAAATAGCTTTCATTAGAACAGAAGAGGGAAGAATCATTCCTACATGAAGATCAACAGTGCAGTTGCCTTAGGTAGATGGAGTGACATACTGCAGGGGGATGTGATTAATAATAAACTGCTCAAACTTGGCTCTGTGGCAGGATTTGTTGGATTTAGCCATAATCTTATATGGTTCAAACTGATCCTTTCAAATAGAGAGCATACACTGAGTTGAATTCTGTATGATGCTGCTAATATCTGTGTATGTTATGTATTGAGGTTACATGTGGGAGGGGGGGAATTTAATTTATTTATTTATTGGTGAGACTAGGGAGGGGAAAGTATCTTTTTGAAACTTTGAGGTTAGAGAGAGACTGTAACCTGGTACTGAGGAGAGTAAGGCAGAGTTATAAAGGGTATTGTAGACAGCTCAATTTTAAAAGGTCTTGTGGGAACTCCAGCATGTATCCTCTCTTCCAAAAGCCTGCAAAACCTCTGAAGCTTGCTTTTTAAATGCTTACTTATTTCTGAGTGTATTTTTATTTCCTACATTTAGGTGAAAATATAGCTTTTATTTGTACATTTTGTAGAACAGTAGCAGCCACAGCCAAGGGGGAGTGAAGAGAGAGGTAACATAAAACATGTTGGAAGCATTGCCTACAGACAGGGCAAATTAGAGATCAGAAAATGGAATAAACATTGAGGATACCTCATGAGGT